TCAGATGCTCTTTGCCTTTGAGCAGCTCTGTTCTGGTCTGCCTCATTCTGTTACAAACCAGGCACAAGCCATGAAACGCTGGTACTGAGCTCTGGGGATGAACCCACTCCTCTTCTGGAGATGTGGTAGCCCTCATTCCTCTGCCTCTCCAGTAGAAAATATCAGAAGGGACCAATAGACTTTCTTCCTCCTTTCCTCTTTGCTGACTCTTTGGGGGCATCTTCTTTAGAGGATCTGAGTCCCCTGCACCCAAATGTGACTGGGAAGGCGGTGGGGGAGGGGGGTGGGCGGAATGGAGGAGGAAGGTTGTGCCATACTTCATACAGAAAGCATAATTAGTAGCTTGTAATTGTTTTTCTGCCCGCCCACCCTCTGCTGTGCCTGCCATCTTCTCTGAGCCAATTTGCTGCCCCAAATTTCTGCTACCTCTTTTTTTCCTCACCCACTCTTTCCTTCACTCTCACCCTTCACTCCACCCCCTCTGCCCTGGCTTCTAGACTGTCGCATGCATGGGCCCATTGATTCTCTTGCTCATATCACCCGTTCACTCTTACCCATCCTTTGTGTGTCTTTCTTACTCAGCCATGTCTCCTTCCCATCTGAGCACCTGGGGGCACAGACATTGACATGGGCTTACAAACAGCCATGTGGTCATCCATCCAGGAGTTGTCTGGGCAGAAGACCTGGGACCAGGAAGGCTGAACCAATGATGCCGACAGACGGATGCCCCCCCCACCCCCGGGCACATGGCTCGCATTGCATGGAGCTGCTGGGCAACATTGATTTGTCTTTCTCAAAGCATTTCATTAATGTTACGGATCTTCAAGATAAGGAAACTTTCTCAGTGTTCCTCAATATGTCCTGGCCTTTTATTGGTCTTTCTGAGATCAATGAATTTCCCTTGCACTGTTGGCCTTTGTTTATGAATGGGCTAATCTCTTAAAACATCGGCTGTTTCTCTTGAAAAAGCCCTTGTCTTTTTGAAAATTTAAGTAGAGATATGGTCAACATAAACTCTGGGAGTCCGTATTCCTATTCCTGCTTGCAGTGGACCAATTAGGTCCCTGGAGTATAGCTGCTATCTTCCTCTCCAGATTCTAGGTGTATCCTTTATTTTTTTTTTTCTGTCTGACAACATAAACTATTTTGCTTCCATAGTTCCCATTTCTCTTCCCAAAGAGAAAAATGTATTCCATTATCTGTTTTCTGAGATCTGTGTTAGTCAGTGCAATTAATCTGTGTCCAACTGCCTTTTTAGTGTTACTTGTATTGAAATGATTATATTCATTTTGTACATCATCCTAGTTTTTCTCATTTCACTCTATATCAGTTCATACAAATCTTCCCATGGTTTTCAGAATTCCTTGTATTTGTCATTTTTTATGGGTCAATAATATTCTGTCACATTCATATACCACAGTTTGTTCAGCCATTCACCAATCAATGGGAACCCTACTTTGTTCCAGTTTTTTTGGTACCATATACGCTATACTAGGTGTATAGGGGATATCTTCCTAAAGCTGTCAGCTTGAGGCCATTCCAATGTGTTCTCCCCGATATTAACCGCCAGTTACAGTTAGTATTTCTCTTATTTCATTGATTGGCCCAGTGATTCATGTCCCAGTATCATTTAACCAATGAGCATCAATTAATTAGCTTTTTTTTACATAGAGATATTTACCAAGAAGATCTAGTAAGAACAGAAGTATGAAGAGTTCCACCTCCCCTACCCCCAAACCTGGGGCATGCTTTCTCCATTCCACCTGGGTCTGGGGAAGAGTGGGCTCAAACTTAGAAGTATTTGCTCTGAAGTATTCACACCCCCCACTCCCAACCCCAAGGTCATTTCCAAAGGTAGGCTGGCCAACAGATGAAGTCATTCTATAAAATGGCATCTCAGCTGCTGGGTCTGACTCATTGCTGGACTGGATCATATGGGTCACTCGCTCCTCGGGGCTGTGCTGGAGGTAGACTTTGGGACCACATAGAAATGACTATATTTACATTGAAAAAAAAACCCTTAACAAATGATGTATTTTCCCAATAACAAAAGGTGTCATATGTGTTGTTTAAAAAGAGATTTTTCATACATTATCTCATTTGATTCTTATAATATCTCTGAGGGGCATAGTGCAAATCATACCCTGATTTCACAGCTAAGGAAAATGAGGCTTGGAATGATTCAGTGACTTGCCCAAGGTCACATTACTCGTAGATTTCAGAGTGATGATTCAAATATGGCTGTTCCAAATCAACTTCTTTCTATAGATCACTCTTCCCTTTCTAGTTCCTTATTGGATGATGGAACAGCTTGGTACAGTGGAAAACGCAGTGTCTCAGAAGTCAGAGGACTCCAGTTCAAATCCTGCCTCTGCTGCTTATTGCCTGTGTGACCTTGCCTAAGTCACTTACCTCTGGGCTTTTTCTTTAAAACGAAGGGTTTGAACTTCGTGGTGTCTGTGGTCCCTTCCAGTTGATCTAGGATCTAGGATTGAGAGCTGAAAGGAACCTGAGCCATCAGCTAATCCAACCTCTTCATTTTATGTATGAGGAAACTGAGGCCCAGAAAGGGTTACACAAGTAGAAAGTGGCAGAACCAAGGTTCAAATTCTGGACCCCTAATTCCAAATTGAGTGTCCTTTCTAAACTGTAGGTAGTAGCTTACATTGGAAAGAATGTTAGGCCAGGAGTGAGAAGACCTGGCTTTTAGCTTTGAATCTGCCACTGACTGGTGTGATTTCGCTCATGTTACCTCTCTTGATCTCAGTTTCCCCATCTGTTGAATAGGTTAATAATACCACCTGTCCTGCTGACTTTCAAGGGTGGTTGTTGGGATCAGATAATGTTGAATAGCTTAGAAAGCTCTCTCACAGATATTAAACATTAAATATGACCTTTTGTTCATCAGGGCTGAACAGGGCCCTCCTTGGACTCTAATTTGGTAAGGGCTATTTCTCAGAATTTAATGTCATGTTCTTAGTAGAGTACAAGCTGCTAAATACATTGATCATGAGATGATTGTTATATATGCATCCACCTGGCCAGCAGCCCATCATCACATGGTCATGAATCACGCTGGCCATTTGTGCTTGTCATTAGCCATACGGAGCACGAATACCTTCCACCACCTGCTCTGGGGGAAATTGACATCTCCTTAGATTTACTCATTGCTGCTTTCCATTTGGGGAACTCAAATGTGAAAACAAACTTACTCTCAAGAGAGAGGCAGGCGGGGTATGGAGCGCTGAGTCTCAGTCTTTTTGGGCTCAGGACCCACTCAGAGAGCTTCTGTTTAAGTGGGTTATATCTATCAATATTTACTATAATAGAAGTCAAAACATCCGAGTATTGTTATGAAAATGGTTTTGACTTTGCGGGTTCCTGAAAGGGCCTTGGAGACTCCCAGGAAAGTCTAGACCACACTCTGAGAACCACTGGTATAGAGGAAAGAACACTTGTTGAAGAGTCAGGAAGCCAGAGTTCGAATCCTGAAACTGTCACCGACTGGATGGGTGGCAGCGACTAAGTCACTTCCCTTCTGTGGGCTTCTGTTTTCCCATCCAAAAGGTGAGAGGGTCAGACTTGATGCTGCTTCTACAGCCTTAGGCTTCCATTTTCCAAGAGAGTTTGGAGATATTTCTTACCAGCATGCCGACGGTCAAGTTATCACCCACAGACTCTGCTGTATGTCTTGGCCTGCTCAGCATGCGTGTAGTAGTTATTTGGGGAAAAAGGATGCTTTGCTATCCTCTAAATGGCAGCATTAGGGAAGCAGAGAGCAGGGCTTAGAGGTTTATTCTACCTGGCACAGTAAAGAAGAGGTGTTGTGGTGACCAAATTGTATCACTCGGAACCCAGCAGCCCTATCATGTGCCCTTGCCTTCCGCCTCACCCCGGAGGGAGGTCTTCTGGCGGGCGGCCTCATCCCCATTGAGGCCCACATTCTCTCCCGTCCTTTCATCGTCAAAGGCTCTGGGAGTCCCCAGCAGGTCTCCTCCTGGGGTTACAGCCAAAACAATGGAAAATCAAAGAGACCATTGGTTTTAGAGCTGGGAGAGAGCTCAGAGCCCAACAAGTCTAACTCCCTCCCTTTACCCATCAGGAAACTGAGGCACTGAGAGGAGAAATAGCTTGCCCAAGGTCATACAGTCATAAGTGGAAGAACCAGGATTTGACCATCGGCCCCTTGACTCCAAATCCAGTGCCATGTCACTTCTACACTAGTTTAGAGAAGATAGGTGTTCTGAACATAGAGACACCTTAAAGGAGGGGTTCAGATTTGGCACCTAATTTATTGGCAGAGGGCCATGAGTCATCTCTGTTCTCCGTGTGTGCTGCCCATGGACCTGGCAAGGAGCAGGAACTGTCTGGATGCTGGCCTTTCTCATACCAGTAGTTTCCTTTCATGGGTACAACATCTCTATTGCATTCTTATTTGGGACAGTCCAACCAGAAAATACAGGATTTCAGAACTATAAGGATCCTTCGGGGTAATCTAGACTAGCTTTCTCATTTTGCAAAGGAGGAAACAGGCCAAGGGAAGGCAAGTGACGTGCCTAAGGCCATATAGTGAGTGAGTTAGTGGTAGAGTTGACAGTTATAGAGCAATAGTTTGCAAAGAGTGCTTGACATGTACTATTTTATTTGATCTTCATGACAATCCTAGAAGATTGGTACAATTCTTATGCCCATTTTATAGGTGAGGAGACTGAGACTGAGAAAAGGAAGTGATTGGTTTATGGTCACACAGCTAGGAAATGTCCAAGGCAGGATTTAGGTCCCAAGGCTTCTTGACTTCAGGTCCAACGCCTCCTCCAGTACATCCCGCTGCGTTCATGTTAGAGAGAAACCTTCGACCCCAGGCTGGATGGAATGTGGCAGAGGGGATTCTGGTTTGGGTATGAGTTGGTCTAAGTGGTCACCAAGGAGTCTTCTGGCGTTGGGATTCTGGGAGTCATGCTGGCTCATGGCTATACTCATCCAATTTTGTCTCTCTGTAGGTTTTGCAAAACATCCTGGAAACTGAACAGGACTATGCTAAGGAGCTCCAATCACTTCTTGGGACTTACTTACGACCACTCCAGGCCAATGACAGGTAAGATTTCCATTGTAAGGTCCTCACTCAATAAAACCCAATAATGCCAGCCAGTGTAGCCATTACACTGGTGTCTTGGAGCTGGGCAAGTGCCCTTTAAAAGAATTCCCGTCATGCATGAGTTGCCAAGAACATGGCCAGGGCAGCAGAAATCCTACAAGATGTCGCTCCCCAAGAATTTGGCTGTGGAAGAGAAGATCTGATTTCCCTTTCTGCCGGGTGCCATGTTCATCCTGGATCTTTTTTCCATGGTGTGTCTGGCTTTACCCTCCAGAAATGAAATGGGCTCCCTGGTTATTTTACTCTGTGGTTCTCGCCAGTAATCCCTGTAAGCATGTGAAATGGGCAGGACACAGATTGACTCTGACCTTTGCTCTCCAGGAAGGCCTGTCTGCTGGGATCTGATAGTGGGAAACCCCAGCAGAGGGCTGCCCAGAGGAACTGCAGGCACCTGACCTCAGACAGCTCCCATTCACTGGCAGAATTTTCTCCTTCACCTTTGCACTGGTGAAAAACAGTTACTTAGAAAGATGTCTGGCAGGAAGCTAAGCTCTCCCACCTCTTCCTAATGGCTCTCCCTGCTTCCGGTTCCTTGGAGATGTCCTGGAGTCTTCCCTCTCCTTCTGCCATCCAGCAGTCTGATAAGTTGCCTAGTTCTTTCATTTCTGCCCTTGCAGCATCTCTCCCATCTTTTCCCTTCCTCTTCACTCATAGAACCACTCTCCTAGGTCAGGCCCTTATTAGCCCTCACCTGGATGATGGTAATAATATCTTCCTAACTGCTTGGAGACCCTGCTTCCAGGCTCTTCTCTCTCCAGCTTCCAAAAGAATCTTCCTAAGGCAAGGTCTGACCATGTCACTCTCCTGCTCAAGAAGCTTCAGTGGCTCCCCATTTACCTGTGGGATAAAATCCAAACCCTTCGTTGTTGTTTGTCCTTCATTTTCAAAGAGGAACGGTGACATCATCTTGGGTGATGTCTTGCCTGGTGCATGTATTGAATTTAAGTGAGGCAGAGTTGTACAAAATCATCAGCCTCATCTAAGTCCAGTGGTAAGACAAAAGTCAGGATGACTGGCAATGACCTGGGATGCAGTGGATGACCTTGGAGTCTTCCATGTCTGACCAAGCTGTAAGCACTCCACAGTGCCTGCTTTAGCCGCCTTCATGGCCTTTGGAGCAAATTGTTCTCATCTGCCCATTCCACCAGGGAAAGCCTTCACATGGTGGGGTAGACATCCCCTTCACTCACCGACGGGTTTGAGGCCTGTTGGCCACTCTCGACCTGGTTTAGCCTGTCTACCAAGATGGTTTTACTAGGGTGTGTGCATGCTACAGCTTCTTGGAGCAACAGGGGAAAGACAAAGTCTTAACCTGGCATTTAAGGCCCTCCACAATCTCCCTTCAATTTGCCTGTCTTTCTGCCACCTCCCATCTCATATAATGTAGTCAAACTGGACTGCCCCCCAACCCCCATTCACTTCTGTATCTTCACATATATGATCCCTCTACCTGTAGTGGCCCTGTGTCCCAGGCTCCATCCTTCAGGAAGAATTTCCTGATCCTTCCTCCCTCCACCTCCCAGTGAAAGTTATCTTTCCCTCATCACATTTCACCGAGCATTTTGCTTGCACCTCTCATTAGTACTTTTCATATTCTTCCTCATCTCCTTCTTTGTACTTGGGTCTCATTCTCCGTGGCAGAATATAAACTTTTGGAGGATGAGGTCTGTATCATTCCCCATCTTGCGCAGGTCCCTGCAAACAGTTGGCATTTACCACGTGTTCGTTGCCTCGAATTGCATCTTGGCCATGTGAGGTGACCATTGAAAGTCCCATTCGAGCCCTCTTCAGTGTGTAGATGTCCAGCATTTGTAAACACAGACTCTTTGTACAGGCATGTGTTAATATTTACCTTGGCCAAGCTTTATCAGAGATTAAGATATTGGCAGAGTCTGGTGGAAAGCTGAGCAATGATTTGCAATCAGTCTGTATAATTGAGGACAAAACCTTTCCCCAACTGCTGTTCCTCTTTGAGCTGAGCTTTGTGTGCACCGACGTGGCTCGGTCACAGGGAACACAATGCAGGTTTTGCTCTCCCTTCTTACATTTACCAGTTCTTTCCCTGATGTTGTAGAGAGAATGAGACTTGTGGCCCGAAGCCCTGTATGGAGATGTATGTGGAAACCTAGTACAGCCTCTGCTGTTTACCTGATTTACCTGGGGCAAATCCCCTCCTTTCTCTGGGCCTCAGTTTCTCCATCTGTAAAAAAAGAGAGGCCTGGACTGTAAGGCCTAAAGGTCTAAAATTCAAGTCTTCTTATTTGGTTAAGCATTGCCCCTTGCTGAAAGTCTCAGCTCCAAACCATCTCTCTCCAAATGATAATGAAACGAGATGATATCTGTAACATGCTTTGTAAACCTTAAGGCGCTACAGAAATGATGTTAACTTTTCTTGTCAGCTCTTGTCCGGCCTCCCATTCCTGAATTTTCCCTCACTCCCGCTGTTGTGGACTTCCCTCCCAACCATAAAGGCATTTTTATTCCAGGAAGGCTCTAGCTTCCAGGACCTCAGAGACTGTCAAGTCTAACCCCCTCACTTTACAGATGAGGAAACTGAGGCCCAGAGAGGTTAAGGTCCAAGGTCACCCAAGTAGTAAGTGGCAGAGCTGGGATTCAAACTCACATGCTCTGATAGCAAATCCAGGGCTCTTCCCACTGGACCTCCCCACCCTCCCTTTCTTGCACCCTGTGACTTCATGGATGTAGGGAATTCCTGGTAGGGAAACTCCCTCCAGAAATGGAGGATAGTAACTCTTCTGGAGTCTTAGAGAATTGCCCAAGCCATAAAGCTCCTCCATTTCAGAGGCAGGTGAGCTAAGACCTTCTAGGCTCCCAAATTGACCCACTGTCCGAGCTGCTCCATTGCCATCTCTCACACTGGAATGGGGCTAGTGGTGATAAAGGAGACGTGTTGGAATTTATGGGAGCGTGGTAAGCTTAGTGGATTTGAGATCTTGAAGGTAGAAGAACCCTAGTCAGTACTCACAGCAGGCCAGGAAGCGGTTTTCTGGTTTGATTCTCACAACAATCCCATGAGGTAGATGCAGTAATGAGAATAAGAATAATAAGTAATAGCTAACATTATATAGCACTCTCAACGTGCCAGGCACTGTGCTGAGTGCGTTACCTATATCACCTCATTTGGCCCTCACAACAACCCCGGGAGGTGGGTGCTGTTATTATCCCCTTTTTACAAATGAGGAAGCTGAACCTAAGTGACTTGCTCAGAGTCACACAGCTAACCTGAGACTGAATTTGAACTCAGGTCCTCCTGACTCCAGGCCTTACACTTTCTCCACGGCAGCACCACCTAGCTGCACTATGGTAGGAGACAGACGGATAGACAAGGGAGATAGCTGGACACCAGCGGAGTCTTGAGAGAATAGAAGTGTGAACAGGGAATGATTGAGGCTAAGAGGGAAGGAAGAGACAGAAGTCAGAGGAGGTGGAGACACATGTGCAGCCTGGCCTGTGCCTGGGAAGAATTACCAGTGAGCCGGTCATGGAGTTGCTTCTCCTGTGTCCAAGTCCTTTTTCTGTATCAGTGCATTGAAAGGCTCTGTATGAATCAGGCTGCTGGCAGTGTGATACACTTGGAGAGGTCAGAGGGGATGACTCAGCTCCCATGGCCATGGGCAAGGCAGCAGGATTTTGGAAGATTGCCTTTTTTATACCTGCAGCAAAATGAGGTTTTTCTAGCTGTCCCAGAGAGCAGAGTGAGACATTTTAAAGCTCTCGGGCCTTTCAATAACACCTGAGTTTTCTCTTTCTTTCTTAGCAAGTTATTCTGTCTGTAAGAATGATGTCTATCTAGATATATTTCCTCTGAACGGGGGGAGGATTGAAAAATCACAGTCCTCAGAGGCCATCTGGTCTGCCTTCTACCTGAAGCCTGAGTCTTCTCTACAGCATCCTGGGTAAGGGGCATTCAGCCTCTTTGCCTGAAGGCCTCCAAGGAGGGGACCCCACTGCCTCTTAAGGCAGCGTAGGCCATGCTGGGACAGCTCCACTGGACAGAGGAGGCTTTTCCTTACATCAGGTCTTAATCTGCCCATCTTCGGTTTCACCACCCTGACTATGCCTAGATCTGCCCTCTGGAATCAAGTAGGACAAATGTAATTCCTCTCCTGCCCGACAGCCCCGCCAGCCCTTGAAGGCAGTCACCAGGCCCTCACTAAGGCTTTCCCCCTCCAGGCCCTTTATCAATCTCTGCGCTTGCCAGCTAGGCAGTGTCTTTCCCATATTGAGATGGCCAAAATTGAAGCTGATATCGCCAGTGTTGTCTGAGCAGGGCAGAGAATGGTGAGACCGTTGCCTCCTTTCTTCTCCATGGCTCACGTCCATGTTGGCTTTTCCAGCTTCCTTAGGATACTGTTTCCTCAGGTTGAACTTGCAGACCACTAAGCCCTCCAGGTTTTTTTCACTCTAATCATTGTCTAGTCCTGCTTCCCTGTGCCATACTTGTAGAGTTTTTTTTTTTAACCTAAGCACAGGTCTTTCTCTTTATCTCTGTTTAATTTTAGGTAGTTGGATTTGGCCCATTGCTCTAGCCTGTTGTGGTCTTTTGCAGAATCTGTCTTTTGTCAACTGTGTTAGCTCTCCCTCTCAGCCAGGAGTGTGCTGGAGCCAGAGCCCCTTGTTAAATTTTTGGTGGAATTCAACAAGCACTACAAATTAAGGCTTGATTTATTGTTTTGTTGATGTCTAGACTTAAGAAAATGATGAAGAAAATGATAATAATTCAGATTAATCTTAAAAATGTGTCATGCGTATATGGTTTTCTCCTGCCCCCAGAGCCAGTTGTTAAACATTTACCAACACGCCCTACTCCCAGCTTTGTGCCACCTGCACACTTGATAAGTATGCCATATATGTCTTATTCATATCATTGCTAAAAATGTCTGATAGCATGTGGTCAAAAACACATTTGTGGGCTGTTC